TTATTTGATAAATAATCAAGCCTAGGGCTTTATTTGTATTTGAGTTAGAACTCATATTTTGTGTCCAAGTGTTGGCTTGGAAAGATGTAAGCCCATAGGGCATTTAATTTGATGTTACATGTAATGTTTTTATTTAGTAATACTCTGATGAATGAATTAATAAATTGTTTTCTTTAAATAATGCATGTTGATGATATACATATAATGGGTTTATTTTGAGGGCGTTACAAAGATACATCAATAAAAGAAGAGCAAGTGCTCAAAGCATTATGGCGAGACAAATCAATCTCAACTAGGTTGGCACTGAAAAACATACCAAATCATCTGCTGAGCACCACGCCCACTGTTGGTGAGAAGCCAACAAAGCAAGACAAAACCAAACCAACACAACATCATCCCCAACAGCAAACAAAGCTGCTGCTACATAGTCAAACCACAATTACAAGTAAAATCTAGCCTCCCTAATGTTTGAAACAATATCATGGACTGTGTACTAAACTCTAATGAAATTTGATTTAGCCCACATAGCCACCCTCACCTTAACAAGTTCCCCAATCTCTGTAAATTTTGGTTGACGACCATTAAAACACCCAATCATTTGGTTTTTTTCAGGTTTCGCGCATGAATTCTTGACTTTAAACTCAATTATTTTAATGATACGGTTTCATTTACCCTAACCTTGATAGTTTTGACCTACATACTCATATATTTTTACCCTACTTTATCGATGTTCTCCTAAACTTTTTTTTATTAAAATCGGGTCGGGACAAATATAATCGGGTCGGGTAATTTTGCCATCTCCTTGCCTTCCAGATCAACCACAACAGGGCAATAGGTACTGTTTTCCAAATCTGCCGCTCCATCTTCTTGAACTTGACACCCCTCCACCATTGAAGCAACCCCTCCATATCTGCAGGTGTTACCCTGCTGATCTCCCACCAATCCAGCAAATCTGACCATACTTCCCATACTCCTGGGCAAAGTAACAGAACATGATTCCCTGTTTCAGCTTCAGATTTCCAAAGGGGCAAACAATACCCTCACTGCTTCTAATAACCCCAATGCTATGCAAGAAATCTCTTTACCCTGCCTTTCCAAGGTAACCACCCAAAAAATTGTGCTTTTGGTGGTGCTGCATTGTGCCATAACATCTTTGTAATTTGAAGCCTAGGTCCATACATGGCATCACACTCCTTCCTTACTGATGCAACTGTAAACTGACTTGAAGAAGCAGCCTCCCACTGTAGGAAATCAGGGCAGTTCATTCTAAGCACTGGAGCACTACTCAGCAGACCCTACAACCTGCCTACTTCTTCTTCTTCCCATGATAGGAGAGACCTTCTAAATGAGAGCATCCATTCCCCTGTGCTCCGTCTTCTTTGCACAAAATCCTTCAGAGAATCTTCTTTTTCCATAGATAGACTATACAACCTTCCATAGATAGACTATCAACCCAGAAATGAATCCTGCAACCATCACCTACCCCAATCTTTAGATTACTATCATAGAAGTTAAACAATGATGAGTTAGACATTACCACCTTCAACACGCCAAAGTCTTGATATCTTCCTTTCATCATCAGAGTTCATTGCTGGTAGCCATCTTCCACCTTGTAAACCATACTTGCACATTAGAACTTGTTTCCACAAAGCTTTATCTTCGGCCCTATACCTCCACCACCATTTCAATAAAAAAACTCTCATTTACCTCCCATATCCTCCTAATGCCTAACCCTCCTTGATCTTTGTTCTTTGTCACTTCCACCCATTTGACCTTATGTACCTTTCTCTTCAACTCTGTGCCACGCCACAAGAATGCAAAATTTAGAGTTTGGTGTCTTGCATCATAGATATGTAATATAAGATCAATTCCTTATTTTATCCTAAGGTTATGTTTGGTTCATGGATTTGGAAAAGGAAAAGATAGGTGAAATGTGAATGAAATATAGCTAAATTTCACACATTTTTTCCCTTTCCCTACCCAAATACATGAACCAAACACAACCTAAAAAGAAATCTAAGATTAGTCACAGCTTCATAGGGGTAGGCTATTGGTTAATTATGCCTTGCAATTTTATTATTTTTTTTTTGTTATATATTTTTATATATAAGAGGAGTTAAAAATTTGTATTTCTAGACTCAAATATTCTGGGAGTGAATATGGGTCATAAAAAATCTTCCTTCCATTTTGACATATTGGACAGTCTTGTTAAACTTAATTTATTTCATCCAGTTCTCAAATCTAATCTCCTATACTCTCAATTTCACTTTGTGAGTTAGATTTGCTTGACTTCACTGAGTTCTAATATTTTATGGCTAAACTTCACCAGCTTTATAATCTATTTAGAAAATTTTAAATTTGTGCAAACAAAGATGTAGCACGAAAAATATTTTAATGGCATAATTGATTAACTGGAAGTTTCATGATGATTATTATTATTATTAGTATTATTATTATTGTTGTTGTTGTTGTTGTTGTTGTTTTTATAACCTAATTTTTACATGACTTGTGATTCTTTGTTGACAAGTTTTATCTTTTTGTCGCACTTGGCTAAAAGCACTAAAAGATTAGTGAATTCAACAAGATCAATTCATGATGTATATTTTTCATTTGTAATTTATGTCTTAATTAGTCTGTCAATATATATTTTTTTAATAGAAAGATTTCAACCCTTGTAGGAGAGTAGCACCCTTGGCCATTGAATTGAACCCTCAAGTTTAAATTTACACTGTTATACTAATTCATTGTTCATAATTTACAGGTTGCTTTTTCTGCCTCAATTAATTGGGTGGAAAGGGGAGCACTACTTCCAGTTAGAAGACAAATTGGAAGTAAATGTTCTTTTCTTCTTCTTTTTTCTTTTTCTTATCGGTATTAAGCTCATAATCATTTTACTTTTATCCTTTATGTTTCAGTTACATGCTTTGTTGTTGCCGTTGTTGATGTGACGGCAAGTGCCCGTCATATATATTATGGAGAAGAGTTGGTTGCACTGGCAGCACAAGAGATCCTGGACTGTATACCATGGAATACGAAAAAAGGAGGATCGGAGATTATGGCATACGATTACATTTATAGGCATGGGATCGCATTGGAGAAGTATTATCCATACACAGGAGTGAAAGGGAAATACAAAAAAATCAAGAAAGGTATGTTTTACTTTTAATTAGATAGTCAATTTGTGTGGCAAGTATGGTCAAACATCTGAATCATGTTTTACTTTTTTGTCCCTTTGTGTGGCAAGTATGGTAAAAAATCATAGGCTAGTGGGGATTACAATGGTTATCCCATGTTTAGTTGATAGCTTAATGTAGTGGTGGATGTGTCACGCCCCAAGCTCTGTGGCAACGCCGCGCACTCATTTAAGTGAGCATGTAAGGCTAAGAGTCCAACACATAACCAACAATGTAAAATACTCAAATTAAATCTTTAAATATCATAATGCTAAAAACTATACAAATAGATAATTCTTATCATATGAAATTGTCCACCAAGTCCACTAATAAAAAAAAAATCCAAGTACTTAAATCATAGTCCTACTCTCGGCACTCCCACAAGTAAAAACCCCGCACAACTTTACTCTTCAGAATCTGAAAAAAAATAAAATAAGGGTAAGCTAGACAGCCCAGTAAATAACGAACCATCACTACTAGCTGGATCAAGTATACAAAAAAAAAAATAGTCGATAACCAATAAATATATTTTTTGCTACTATTCAATAAATGAACAATTATTTTGTAAGATGGTTTCATAGCTGAAAATAAGCAGTGTAGCAATACATTGTAATTGAAAAGACAATGAGGTAATTCGACGAAATTTCGTTGTTCAAAATTCATGGTTCGATATTCAATGGTTCAATGATGTGATTCACAAAACCCAAGTCTTGGTGACTACGGTCGCTTAGCCCATGACAAGGCCCAGAACCGCACATAGGCCAGTGGTAAAGCCCCAAAAGAAACTAGTTTCTGTGCCAATAAATAACCCCTATTGGCTAAGATCCAAATCATAGTCAGACTAGAGTGATGTACAAAATTCAAACAATACACAACTTTTAAACAAAATATTAGATATTTTCAGAATAAACATTTAGTACAATTTTCATAATAGTTCCATAAAATATTCAAATAATTTTCATAATAATATTCAATGTTGTTTTATACTTGACCCATATTTTATTTTAAGAGAACATGAAGGCTATGAATAAATACTTTTAATTTTAAACGATTCAATAGGAATAAAAATGTACCAACAGTGATAGAGGGTTACTTACCTCAAATGCTTAAAAATAATATTCCAACACTAACTCCAAACACCCAGCTCCACCACTTCAATCACACAAACCTAATAAATAAAACGTCAAATAAATTAATATTTTTACGTGTTACATACACCCACAAAAGCGCCACCATATTAGATTAATGTATAGCTTTAATATCCAAGTGACCAAATCCTCCAACCCAACTTTACAGCCAAACACACCCTTACCCATGATACAAACTCCACTGTTTCTATTACCCACCCAAAGTTACACTTACACATTGCACCCAATTCTCAAAACCTAAGTAGGCACCTATAGATCTTCCAAATCCCCTTAATGCATTGATTGTTTAATTCCTCAACATAAACCTAATAATCAACAGTAAAGGAAGATTTTTACCTCAACCAATAGGTGTCCCAAAAACCCAACATGCTGCCTCCAATCCCTATTGCAGCCTCACTTGGACCTCTCTTCTCTTTTTCTTTTTCTTTTTTTCTTTTACCTTCAAACCCTTGCCACCTATGGAGCAATACCAGCCTCTGTTTTGTTTGTTTCCCAAGACTTAAAGCCACAACAAGTGGGCTTATAAACCTAATTTCTCAAAGTTACAAAATCACCCATCTAAGAAATAGAAAATATAATGCCATCTCATAATTAATTCTTTGATATTAATAAATGACCCATATAAATTCATTTAATTACTAATCTATCCAATAAAATAATTCTACACACAACTTGGGTTTTACATTCTTCCCTTCTTAAAAGAAATTCCGTCCTCGAAATTTGACATACCAGTAGTCTCAAAAAGTCGTGGATACTTTTCTCTCATTTCATCCTCAAGTTCCCAAGTAGCTTCTCTCTCTGAGTGATTGCTCCATTGAACCTTAACGTAGTGGATGACTCGCCGCCTCAAAACCTGCTCCGTCTTATCAACAATTCTTACAAGGTGTTCCTCATAGGTCAAATCCTCCTTAAACTACAACGGTGCATGATTAATCACATGATTGGGATTCGGTATATACTTACTCAATATCGAAACATGGAAGACATTATGAACTCCAACTAGTGAAGGTGGTAGGGCAAGTCTGTAAGCTACCTCTCCAATTCGATCTAAAACCTCAAATGGTCCAACAAATCTAGGACTCAATTTACGACGAACACCAAACCTCATTATTCTTTTCATAGGAGACACCTTAAGGAGCACATGGTTTCCAGCCCCAAACACCAAATCGCGTCTCCTGTTATCTGCATAACTTTTCTGTCTACTCTGTGCAGTGCAAAGTTGCTCTCTAATAAGATTGATCTTGTCCACTGTTTGTTGCACAATCTCTGGCCCTAACAACTTCCTTTCGCCCACATCATCCCAACAAATAGGTGATCTACACTTTCGTCCATATAAAGCCTCATATGGTGCCATCTGAATGCTCGCATGATAACTATTATTATAAGAGAATTCCACGAAGGCCAAATGCTCATCCCAAGAACCTCCAAAATCAATAATATAGGCCCTTAACATGTCTTCAAGTTCTCTCTGACTGTCCATCAGTTTGAGGATGAAAGGTCGTGCTAAAATTCAAACTAGTACCCCAAAGCTGTATGCAAACTCCTCCAAAACATAGATACAAATCTGTTATCTCTATCAGACACTATGGTCACCGGAACACCATGCAACTTCACAATCTCCTTGATATACAATCTTGCAAACCTCTCTAAGGAGAACCCTACCTTAAAAGCTAAAAAGTGAGCGGATTTGGTCAATTGGTCAATCGATTAACGATAACCCAAATAGCATTGTTACCACCTTGGGTCCTAGGCAACCCCGTCACAAAATTCATGGTAATATGTTTCCACTTCCACTCGGGAATAGGAAGAGGTTGTAACTTACCTACAGGCCTCTGATGTTCAACTTTCACTTGTTGACATACCAAACATTGAGCAACATACTGAGCAATTTCCCTCTTCATATTATTCCACCAAAAGTTCCTCTTCAAGTCTTTATACAGTTTAGTGCTCCCAGGATGTGCAGTATACCCTGAACTGTGAGCTTCTCTCAGGATTTCTCTTCTGAGCTCTAAATCATTCGGCACACACAACCTCTCTCCAAATCTCAAGGTTCCAACTTTATGCATACAAAATACCATCTGTAGCCCTATTTCCATTTTAGCCTTAAGTTTTTGCAACTGAGGATCTCTTCCCTGAGCATCTTTAATTCTATCAATCAATGTGGGTTGAACTCTAAGGTTTGCCAACTACACTCCATGGTTATGCCATCTAATCTCGATATTCAACCTTCGCAAGTCCTCCAAGATATTCTTTTGGTCACTGATCAAGGTAGCCAAATTACTCGGGGTCTTTCCACTCAAGGCATCAACCACTGCATTGGCTTTTCCTAGATGATAATTGATAGTCAAATCATAGTCCTTTAATAGCTCCAACCATCGCCTTTGCCTCATATTTAATTCTTTTTAGTGAAAATATACTTCAGACTTTTATGATCAGTGAATATCTCACATTTCACCCCATACAGGTAGTGCCTCCAGATTTTCAATGCAAACACCACTGCAGCCAACTCCAAATCATGCGTAGGATAATTCTGCTCATATGGCTTCAATTGCCTAAGCGTATATGCCACTACCTTATCATTCTGCATCAGGACACAACCCAAGCCCATCTTCGATGCATTACTATAGATGGTAAAACCTTCATCTCTAGACGGAACTATAAGTACTAGAGCACACACTAATCAACTCTTTAGATCTTGGAAACTCTTCTCACAATCATCAGACCACTCAAATTTAACCCCTTTTTGTGTTAATCGAGTCAAAGGCATAGAAATTCAGGAAAATCCCTCAACAAGCCTTCTATAATATCCTGCTAAACCCAAGAAGCTACCAATTTCAGTGACACTAGTAGGCCTATTCCACTCTACCACTGCCTCCACTTTCTTTGGGTCAACAGACACCCCGTCTTTAGATATCACATGACCCAAAAATGATACACTCTCCAGCCAAAATTCACACTTCTTTAATTTAGCAAATAATTTCTTCTCCCTTAATAACTGCAACACTATTCTCAGATGTTCTTCGCGCTGCTCTTTACTCTTCGAGTACACAAGAATTTCAACAATAAAAACTAACACAAACTAATCTAAGAAGGGTTTAAATACTCTGTTCATTAAATCCATAAAAGCTATAGGCACATTGGTCAACCCAAACGGCATCACTAAAAATTCATAAATGCCCATACCTAGTTCGGAAGGCTGTCTTAGGTATATCTTTCGCCTTAACCTTCAACTGATGATATCCAAAACGAAGGTCAATCTTAGAAAAGACTTGTGCTCCTTGCAATTGATCAAATAGGTCATTTATCCTAGGCAAAGGATATTTATTTCGAATTGTCACCTTGTTTAACTCTCAATAATCAATGTAAAGGCGAAAACTACCATCCTTCTTTTTTACAAATAAAACGGGCGCACCCCAAGGAGAAACACTAGGCCTAATAAAGCCCTTATCTAGTAACTCTTGTAATTGTTCCTTCAACTCTTTCAACTCTGCTGGGGCCATCCGATATGGAGGCTTGGAGATGGGACCTGTGTCGGGTATCAATTCGATGGCAAACTCAATCTCTCTATCTGGCGGCAACCCCGGTAAGTCTTCAGGAAAACCATTGGGAAATTCCTTTACAACTAAAATATCCTCTAACTTCAATTCAATCTCACGAATATCTCTCACAGAAGCTAAATAACCCTCGCAACCATTCCTCAACAATCGTATAGCTTGCAAAGCTGAGATTACCAAAGGAGGAGTGTTAACTCCACTACCTACAAAACAAAATTCTGGTTAATCAAGAATCTAAAATACTACCCTTTTGCCTCGGCAATAAACAGAAGCACAATTGGTTGCCAACCAATCCATTCCAAGAATTATGTCAAAGTCCCACATATCTAAAACAGTCAAGTCTGCAAGCAATCTCCTGCCATCTGTACTAACCACACGAGATTTGCAAATTAAGTCAGCAACCATAACACCTCCTATTGGGGCTTCAACACATAAGTCAATCTCTCTAGAGTCACATTTCCATCCATGTTTCTTAACAAATCCCACAGACACAAATGAATTTGTAGCTCTAGAATCAAATAACACATGTGCATAAACAGAAGACACTAAAATAGTACCTGACACCACCGTGTTGGAAGTCTGAACATCTTGTTGTGTGAGTGCGTACACTCGACCCTGAGTCTTTGGCTTATGACCTCCATTTTTCTTTTGATTTCCTAAAGACACTCTGTCTGTTGAAGTTCCTTTATTTGTCCATGCTTTCTGTTCAGTCTCACACGCCTTCCAGCTAGGGCAATCAGCTATTTTGTGCCCCTGTTGCCCGCAAAAGAAACAAGCCCCAGTATTCCAATGACACTCACTATCCCGATGGAATCCATTACATCTAGTGCACTGTACCCGATCGTTCTGCTTGTCAACAGTACAACTCACAGTTCGACTTCCCCAACTCCCAACCGAAGAAGTGTTTTGTCTCTTAGCATTGCCCTTTGAACTGTTGTTAGTTTGGAAGTTGGAAGAACTATGTCTCTTCTTATAATTCTCTTCTTTCTCTTCTTGGGCTCTAGTGAGGCCACTCTCAACCAATAATGCCTTATTTAACATTGCTTCAAAAGTAGGTAACTCGAAAGGAACCACCTATTGCATAATGTTCGTTCTTAGCCCACCTTCGAACTTTTGTGCTCTACTATCCTCGTCTGTTTCAAATGTTGATGCAAATTTAGACAACTTCGCAAACTCGGCTTCATTTTCTGCAACGGTCTTATTCCCTTGCTCCAACTTCGAAAATTCTCTTTGTTTTTGTAAACGAACACTCCTAGGGAAGTATTTCTCATTAAATGCATTCTTAAACCTTTCCCATGTATATGGGTTGGCATCATGCTCATGTATGCGCTTCTCCATTTGCCACCAATCATTAGCTATCCCTTGTAGCATAAACGCAGCATAGGTCACCTTCTAATCATCCATACACTCAAAAACAGGAAACAACTTTTCCGTTTCTGTCAACCATTTTTCAGCCTCCAAAGGGTCTGTGGCTCTATCAAATGCCAAGGCTATCTTCTTAAACTTACTAATGTTACAACATGGCCTCGGTTGTGGCCCAACACCTGGCTGCATCCGTTGTTGTTACTCCATAAGTCTAGTCAAATTATTCCCTATAGTGGTTTGTTGTTGCACCACCCCGGCCAAAGTCTGAAGCACTTGAACCATTCCAACTAGAATGGGGATTACAGCTTGTTCTTGTTGTCCCAACTCTTGCCCCTGATTTCCTCTAACTCCTTGAGAACCAGTAGCAATATTAGTCACATTCCCTCGCCGATTGTTATTACCAGTCCGTCGATTTGTTTAACCCTAGCGTGTATTCCTAGCCATATTTGCCAATGTCTCCTCACGTTCCATTGCAACCTATATGCATCAATAATAAAACCTCATCTTATTCTATTCTCAAGTCTCTATAACACGTAAATAAAATTAACATTTTACCAAATTATAAGCGTTCCCAATCCTACATCTACCCAATCTCACCACTATTCTATACCAACTTTTAAAATTATAACCTGGCTCTGATACCACAAAATTGTCACGCCCCAAGCTCCGTGACAACGCCGCACACTCATTTAAGTGAGCATGCAAGGCTAAGAGTCCAACACATAACCAACAATGTAAAATACTCAAATTAAATCCTTAAATATCATAATGCTAAAAAACATACAAATAGATAATTCTTATCATATGAAATTGTCCACCAAGTCCACTAATAAAAAAAAATTAATCCAAGTACTTAAATCATAATCCTACTCTCGGCACTCCCACAAGTAAAAGCCCCGCGCAGCTCTACTCTTCAGAATCTAAAAAAAAATAAAAAAATAAAAAAATAAGGGTAAGCTAGACAGCCCAGTAAATAACCAACTATCACTACTAGCTGGATCAAGTATACAAAAAAAAAAAAAAAAAAAAAAATCATTTTTTGCTACCATTCAATAAATGAACAATTATTTTGGAAGATGGTTTCATAGCTGAAAATAAACAGTGTAGCAATACATTTTAATTGAAAAGACAATGAGGTAATTCGACGAAATTTCGTTGTTCAAAATTCATGGTTCGATATTCAATGGTTCAATGATGCGATTCACAAAACCCAAGTCTTGGTGACTACGGTCACTTAGCCTATGACAAGGCCCAGAACCACACATAGGCCGGTGGTAAAGCCCTAAAAGAAACTAGTTTCTGTGCCAATAAATAACCCCTATTGGCTAAGGTCCAAAACATAGTCAGACTAGAGTGATGTTCAAAATTCAAACAATACACAACTTTTAAACAAAATATTCAATATTTTCAGAATAAACGTTTAGTACAATTTTCATAATAGTTCCATAAAATATTCAAATAATTTTCATAATAATATTCGATATTGTTTTATACTTGACCCATATTTTATTTTAAGAGAACATGAAGGCTATGAATAAATACTTTTAATTTTAAACGATTCAATATGAATAAAAAACGTACCAACAGTGATAGAGGGTTACTTACCTCAAACGCTTAAAAATAATATTCCAACACCAACTCCAAACACCCAGCTCCACCACTTCAATCACACAAACCTAATAAATAAAACCTCAAATAAATTAATATTTTTACGTGTTACATACACCCACAAAAGCCCCACCATATTAGATTAATGCATAACTTTAATATCCAAGTGACCAAACCCCTCAACCCAACTTTATAGCCAAACACACCCTTACCCATGATACAAACTCCACTGTTTCTATTACCCACCCAAAGTTACACTGACACATTGCACCCAATTCTCAAAACCTAAGTAGGCACCTATAGATCTTCCAAATCCCCTTAATGCATTGATTGTTTAATTCCTCAACATAAACTTAATAATCAACAGTAAAGGAAGATTTTTACCTCAACCAATGGGTGTCCCAAAAACCCAACATGCTGCCTCCAATTCCTATTGCAGCCTCACTTGGACCTCTATTCTCTTTTTCTTTTTTTTTTCTTTTTTTCTTTTACCTTCTCAACCCCTTGCCGCCTATGGAGCAATACCAGCCTCTGTTTTGATTGTTTCCCAAGACTTAAAGCCACAACAAGTGGGCTTATAAACCTAATTTCTCAAAGTTACAAAATTACCCATCTAAGAAATAGAAAATATAATGCCATCTCATAACTAATTCTTTGATATTAATAAATGACCCATATAAATTAATTTAATTACTAATCTATCCAATAAAATAATTCTACACACAAGTTGGGTTTTACAGGAAGGACTGGAAATTTAGAAGGGAAAAAAAAGGAAAGGAAAATTTGGAGAGCAATTCCTGTAGCAATTGTTTGATCTATGTGGAAGCATAGGAATGAATGTATCTTTAGTGATACTCAACCAAACTTGGAGGCATTGTGTGAGTTTATCAAAGTAGGATTAGCCATCTAGTTGAAATCACATAATGTTAGGTGCTTTTACTCTATAAATGAGATTGTTTCAAATATACACTAGGTAAGAAGGTGCTGGAACCGAGGTGGTTACGTCAGGACTGCTCAAATGAAGATGGAAACTGTGGGTTTGGCAGCTGTAGTGATGACAAGCTATTTCGGTGTCAACCTAGTTGGGATCGTTTAATTTTGTTGTGATGCTCTTTTGCACTTACTCTCCCTTTATTGATAATAACAATTTGTGTTGTTCCTTGATTATTATTATTAAAGTTTATTTTTGCTGACAAAAAATATATATATTGTATTTATGATGTTTATAATTTTTGTAGTTTCATAGTCCGAGAGTTTCGATCGATGGATATTGCGAGATGGCAGCCGGAAATGAGTATGAGATGTCAAGAATTCTCCAATATCACCCGATCACTGTTGCTATAGCCTACCATAGGTCTTTTGATCTTTATAAAGGGGTATAAACAACTAAATTCGAAAATGTTGTATTTGAATAATTTTGAAATAAGTTGTAATTAGATGTTATTGTAATTTATTTTTAAATGCAGGGTTTGTACAAGCCACCTCGTTTTTTATTCGAGCTTGATATGGTGAAGTTGAGTGATAAATCAAATCTTGAAAACCATTCACTTCTGGAATTTCATGAGATTTGTCTTGTAGGCATGGGGACTTACAATGGAGAACCCGCATGGCTGATAAAAAATTCCTGGGGGAAGCAGTGGGTTGTAGGTGGCTATGCATACATCTCACGCAACGGAAGCTACGCCGGAGCCTTAGGGATAAATTGTTGGCCATCTTATCCTATTATCGGTGATCACGAAAGATATGAGAAGCCTCGCCTCTATAAGCCACCTGCTGGGGTTGTATTCCCGAAGAAGGATTAATCTTGTCATGTTCTCTGCTTGTCATTAACATTCCTCTTGTTAGCAGTCTATTTATTATTTTTTATTTCTGCATTCTGTTTCAATATATAAGGCATCTACTTGTACAGATATGCACATTTGCTTTTGTGATAATCCCTTATGCGTGTCTGCTTATTTCATGGTCAAGCAAGGTAATGGAAATCAAAAAGATAATAACAAATAATAAAGGAGATGCATTCAACCAAGGTTTAGAGGGAGCCCAAAGACTCACAATGTTTCAATATTTGAGCCCATATGAGAATGGTTTTTTGCACGTATTTCGATTTGTTTAATGTGAATAGAGTTCTCTGGCTTTAGATTTATTAGATATAGTTCATTATGTTGTTATTAAAATCTTGGTTTGGTTGAGGTTCTTTAAAGCAATTCCTTACTTTAAGTCAATAAATCTTGGTTACTTGATCAAGCACGGTAGAGCATTGTAGTTGGACACATTTTTATTTTACACATGTTGGAGACTTAGATAGTAATTAGCTTTCCATGTAGTTTACATCATGGTGTTGTCTGTTGATGGATACGAAATAAAGGGATTTGGGTTTCATTTCATACTTAAAGTAGTCGAGAGAATTGGTATTGAAGTGCTTCCATTTGAAGCATTAAGGTAAATGTATGAGATTCATCCTACTAGAATAGTTGCGCCACTAGAATTTTGGAGGTTTAGGTCAAAATTCATGTTTTTTTTTTCTTCTTCAAAATCATTCATAAAGTTCTTATAAATCCATTGGTGGAAAATTTAATCCAAGCTATATTGCTTGAAGTTCTTTTTGTTGGAAGGTGGAAAAATAAGAGGAATGGAAGAAGGTAGGAGCAGAAGGATATCAAAGTTCACCTTTTTTCTTCCAAAATTACTGAGATAAGGTTCTCAAATTCATTCGTGGAGTTTGTCCTCGTCAAATGATTTTTAGTTATGTTTAGTCTTGCTAGGGTTCACTATAGGAAATTACACTTTTAGCTACCAAATTTTTAGTTGCCGAAGGTTCTTTTTTAGTCTTCGAAAGTCATTGGCGACTAAAGTTTTTTGTTGCCCATTCAGTCACCGAAGCCTTGTCGGCAATAGTCAATGGTTACTAATTTCACGTTGGTCACTAATTATATTATCTTCAGCTACTAAAACAAACTTAGTCGCCAATGGTCACTTTTTGGCGACAAAAGATTTAGTCGCTGAATGTGATCAAATAAAAATGAAATTCTTTTTCAACGACTAAATATTTTAGTCACCAATAATAACACATTTAGCGACTACAAAATTTAGTCACCGTTTTATGCCACCATTAGCCACCAAATAGTTTAGTCGCATTAAAACTGGATATTTTCATTGCATTGTATTTTACGGCCAAACATTTTTGTCGGCGAAGGTGTATTGTTCTTTCGTGACTAAAATATTGAGCCGGCAATATTGTTTTGGCAACTAACTATTTGGTCGCCAAAAGTCTTTTGTTTTTTTGTACTACAAAATATTTAGTCACCCAAAACCTTTGCTTACATTTTTTGCTACCAAATATTTAGTAGCCAAAAACTTTATAATCTGATTTTTTAATCAATTTCTCAACCACGTGAATTCATTCCATTATTAGTGCAACCTGTACCCTGTATATAAACAAAATAATCCATATATTGATTATATTATCAATCATTCTAGAACGTGCACACATTTCACTTTCAATCATCCAAAAAATTCATATTTAACGTCAAATTTAAAATGTAATAGAAATTCCATATAAACGAAGTATAATCCAATCTCAAAAATATAATTTCATACAGAACAAAGGATTAAACAAAAACCATGCCTATAAACACAAAAAAGTAATCCAAAAAAATAATATATATAGACGATAATAATATGTAGACTAAAACAATGTCCTTTGTAATTGTCCAAAAAAAGTCGTATCCACAATTCCACGCCAAAAACCATCTGTAAAAATAAAATTAATCATTAGTATTGACTGAATATTGGCATATTTAAAATTATAAAAGAAAATCACATAAAGCTTAAATGTAATTAATCTTTTCAAATTAATCATTAGTTTTGCATACACGAATGTATAAAAAAAAAAAGAAAAAAAAAAAGAAGAAGAAGAAAGAAAGAAATTCAAAAAAAAAAAAATTCTAGTAATTTTTCTAAATAATTCTTCATAAGCAACTCAAATCGTAGTTAGCAACTTAGAAATTCAACTGACAAACAAATTAGTATTGACACAGACAATTCATAATTCCAATTTAGTATTAAGATAAAAATAAATCTCCATTATAATTTCACCAAAAGCTAAGCCCGTTTCAACAAAGTAATATTAAACTTCTAGCAAAATACGGCAAACACATAATATGTAGACTAGAGGCTCCAAAGAAATTTCAAAAAAAAAAAAAAAAAATGGACATTGATAATTGTCCCATTATGAGTATAGTCATTGTTCATTTGTGAAACCTATGTTCAAGTTCGAAAGTGAAGGTAGACTTTTTATTTTGTTTATGTTTTACTTCCATAAATGGAAAGTAAAAAAAAAATTGAATCAATATGCAACAACAGATCATACTAGAAGCAGAGTTGGAGATATTGATCTTCCTTTCTTTTCTCACAAATCAAATCTACTTCTACTACTACTTGTGAGCAGCACATTTAAACAATACAAATAGATATGGTTTTGAACAATTAATAATAACGTAAGAACATTTAAAGCAGTGGTTTGGGGCTATTTTGCATTTTTGCCCCCAAAATCCCATTTTTTGACTATGTTTAAGGTATAACTCTCAATTTATGTGTCCTATTTACATACCATCAGTTCTCATAAGTCATTTTTGACACGAGGAAGCTGCCCGTTACATCCAAACAGTGGTTGGGTGGCTGTTTTGCAATTTTGCCCCCTCAAACGCCCTTTTTCGACAAAGTTTAAGGCGTTTTCGACTCTAAATCCCAATCTACGTGTCCTCTTTACATGCCATCAATTCTCACAGGTCATTTTTAGCACGACAGAGCTGCCCGTTACATTCCGACAGTGGTTGGGGAGCTATTTTGCATTTTCACCCCCCAAACCTCCATTTTTCAACTAAGTTTAAGGCGTTTTTTACTCTCCAATCTACGTATCCTATTTATATACTATCAATTCTCACAAGTCATTTTTGGCACGAGGAAGCTGTCTGTTACATCCCAACAGTGGTTGGGGGGCTATTTTGCATTTCACCCCCCGAACGCCTTTTTTTGACTGAGTTTAAAGCGTTTTCGATTCTAACTTCCAATCTGCGTGTCTTATTTATGTACCATCAGTTCTCATAGGTCATTTTTGGTATGAGGAAGTTGCTCATTACATCCCAACAGTACGTAGAAACTAACCAAGCACCCAATTCCCAAGGATATGCCCAAGGATAAAGAAAATAAATTGGGCAAATTATACTAATAATCCCTGTACTTTATCTCGTGTCACTTTGGTCCCGTAGTTTTAATTTACTCGATTTTGACCCTCAATTTTTAATTTTGCATCATTTTAGTCCAAGTGTTAACACCAATTCAAATTGTCAACGGAAAACAAACACATGAGACGCACATGTCATACTCTTAGAGGTAAAATAGTAACTTCACCAATACTATTTATTTTTTTGCCTTCAAATCAGTGAGTTAACTCATTATAATTTTGCCCTAAAAATCTCATTTTTCTAAAGAGACTAGTAGGAGGAAGAGGAGAGAAACAAAATGGAATAGGAGGAGGGGAATGTGTATCGATGTTGAGACGAAAAAGTAGTGTGGTTGAGAAGATTAAGAGGTCATGGTTGGAGGTCTAAGGCAGGGGTGTCACAGCTGGAGAATAGTGAAAGAAGCGTTGAGGGAAAGGAAGAAGAGGGGGGAGAGTCATTGTTGAATGAGGACGACGGAGATTCTGACAGAGAATGAGCGGATCACAGTGAAAGAGAGCAAAGAGGGGCTAATAGATAGGGGTTGTGAAGAGGCTAACTAAGCCCAAAGCGATCACAGCTGAGCAAGGTAAGGAAGGGGTTGATAGATGGAAGTCGTGAAGGAGCTGACGGATGGAAGTCTAGGTTGGGAGATGCCGATCTTCTCGTAGATCACGATGATCTATTCAACAGATTGCAAAGAATCTTCTTTGCCAATATTCTTCTTCTCTTATTTTCTCTCTTCTCTTCGGTTGATTTTTTTTATTTGATTTGTATGATTTGTTGTTTGATTTGATTGAATTACTATTTGATTTGGAGGAATTGGTGGTCTGTCACTTTGTTATTGTTATTGTTATCATCTCCCTTTGTTATTTTTTTGACTGTCACTTTGTTATTTGGTGATGGTGGGATGATAGGGGTAGATGAAGGAGGTTGGATGGAGGTGATAGATATGGCAGGTATGTGCAAAAGACGGTGGTGAGTTTGGTAGTCTGTGTGGCAGATGATACTGGGTTTGATGTGGTAGAGGTAGATGGTGCTGATGTTGGGATTGGCCATGGATGATTTTGGTAATAGAGGAAAGCAACGGTGGTAGGTGATTGTTGTGTTGCAAAGAGTCCAGAGGAAGAAGATGGTGAAACAAGGAAAGGGTTGTGAAATGTCTATATTGTCCTTGAAAAGGGATCATGTCCGTCTCACGTGTTTGTTTTCCGTCAATAATTTTAACCGGTGTTAATAATTGGACTAAAATGATACAAAATTAAAAATTGAAGGTCAAAATCGAGCAAATTAAAACTACAAGGACCAAAATAACACAAGAGGTAAAATGCAGGGACTGTTAGTGTAATATCCCAAATAAATTTACATGTTATTGGCTAATATATATGTGCAATATTTACAAAGTTGATTGACCCTCCAACAATTATAATTAATAGCGAAGTGATGCTCATTCATTCTCCCTTTCAAACTTGACGTTACAATGGCATAGATCATGCAATATACGTCTCTAATTGTGCTTACCATAGAAATACAGAACTTGAAATTATGATATGCATATTGCAATCAAGTTAGGCAAAAATAGA